GACTCCCCCAATGCCTGCTGATCCCCCCTGACTAGTTTATAACAGGCCACTAGATCCCCCCTCAGCCTTCTCTGTTGGAGGCTGAACAGGTTCAGGTCCTGCAGCCTCTCCTCGTAGGGCCTGCCCTGCTGCCCCCTGATCATGAGAGTGGCCCTCCTCTGGACCCTCTCCATGTTGTCCACATCCCTCCTGAAGTGCAGCGCCCAGAACTGGACACAGTACTCCCGCTGTGGCCTGACCAGTGCCACGTAGAGGGGGAGGATCACCTCCTTGGACCTGCTCGAGATGCATCTGTGGATGCATGACAAGGTACAGCTGGCCTTCCTGACTGCCTCCCCACACCGCCGGCCCATGTTCATCTTGGAGTCAATGATGACTCCAAGATCCTTTTCTGCCTCTGTACTGACGAGAAGGGAGTTCCCCAACCTGTAGGTATGGAGCCGGTTGTTCCTCCCCAGGTGCATCACTTTGCACTTGTCGGTGTTGAATCCCATCCTATTCTCATCCGCCCACCCCTGTTACCTGTCTAGGTCCGATCGTAGCCTGTTGCTTCCTTCTAGTGTGCCCACTTCCACCCACATCTTAGTGTCTTCAGCAAATTTGAACAGGGTGCTTTTTACCCCCTTGTCCAAGTCACTGATGAAGACGTTGAACAGTGCGGGCCCGAGGACCGAGCCCTGCGGAACCCCACTGCCCACATCCCTCCAGGTTGAAAATGACACATCCACCCATCCCCCTACATCTCTGGAGGAGCCACAGGGCTCCAGTTGTCCCATGACCCGGCCCAGCTGGGCCCCCATTCATGGTGACTGGGGCCCCGGCTGGGCGGGGGTGTGAGGAAATCAGAGCCCAGCAGCTTGTCCAGGGGCACGGTGTGGGGAGCCAAGAGGGGGGGGTTGTGGCCCCCCAATCTGTGTATGGGGCAAGGGTGGGCAGCAGCTGTGGGCGGCGCTTGGCCTCTGCTCCCTGCCTCGCTGCTGCTGCTTTTGACAGCAGCATGGCGTGATGCCATGTGAGTCCCACCGCCGGGCAGCGAGGTACATGGTGCCGCACCGCACTGATATCAAAGCAGCAGCAGTGAGGCAGGGAGCAGAGGCTGAGCACAGCCCACAGCTGCGGCCCACCCTTGCGCCAGGCACAGACCGGGAAGCCATGGGCTCCCCACTTGGCTCCCCCGCACCATGCCTCTGGAGGAGCTGCCAGGCACTGATTGTTTGTCAGCAGTCACCGTGAACAGGGCCCCCAGCTGGGCCAGGTCATGGGCAATCAGAACCCAGGGGCACGGTGTGGGGGAGCCAAAGGGAGGCATGTGCCCCCCCTCCCCCAGCTCCCCCATGATGTGCCTGGCAGTGTCCGTGCCCAGGCCAGCCAACCGCTGCCTGCCCTATCGGTGGCACATACGCAGTTGGCCTGGAGCATTATGGACAGACAGACAGACTAAGACTCTTATTATGTTAGAATAATAAAGGGTTTTGTCTGTCTGTCTGTCTCTCCATAATGCTTTTGATCAAGTGCACATGTGCTGCCAAGACAGAGTTACCATATGTCTGTGTCATCTTTTTTAAGCCCTCTGATTGCAGTCGGGGCAGGGTTTTTTTAAATCTGACCAAATGTTCAGGACATTCCTTTGCTCCGCCAGTGGGAGCAGGGGGGGGCGATCTGAAGCAGCAGGGAGCACACATGTGCCTCCCTGCAGCTGCGGAGGTACAGACCCATGCAGTGGTCTCTACTGCCTCTGATCATCTCCCTCTACTTGTACACCCAGTGCACAGCAAAATCCCGGACATTTGGTCAAGGCAGAGGGAGCGGGGGCTGCAACAGGGCAGGGGGGAGGGTTGCCTGTTCTCCAGCAGGAGAAAGCGGTGAGGTGAGGGCTTGGTGGGTAGTGGGGAACTCCGTGGCTGGGCCAGCAGCACAGGAGCCGGTGCCTGTGCTCTCCTCGCAGAGCAGCCATGAGAAGTTGGAAGGAGCAAGTGGGGAAGGGGGAAGGGGAGGGAGGGGGCTGTGGCCAGGCTTCCTGATGTGGTGCGGCAGCCCCATCCCAGGCCGGGGGTGGGGGGGCCACAACTTCCCCTTCTCTTCCTTCCAGCCCAGACTGGGGTCGGGCATGCTGCCTGCTGACCATTTTTAGTTTGTTCTGGCATTGTTGTGCTGGGCCCTTGAAGGGGAGAATGTGCAAAGTTATTTGGGCCCAAGTAGGTGTCACAGAGTATTTGGATTTATCTCTGGGTATGAATCAGCTCATTGCCACTTCTTAATACAAAGTTTAGTATTGGAGCCACTGTGCTCCGGCCTGTCACCTGGGGCCCCTTCGGCAGGGTCGGTGGGGCAGGAGGCTGGGCGTCAGGAGTGAGGGGCACCAGGGAGGGGACAGGGGACTGTGGGTTGGGCATGCGGGAGGCACTGGCAGCACCAGGGGGCTCTGGGTCAGAAGTGAGGGGCACCAGCAGGGATGGGGGGGTGGGGAGGCTGCAGGTCAGGAGTGAGGGGCACCATCAGGGCCCAGGGGAGCAGGGTACTGCAGTTTGATGAGTGAAAAGCAATGGCAGGGCTGGGGTCAGTGGGTTCGGAGTGAAGGCCAGCAGCAGGGCTGGAGGGGCTGTGGCTTGGTAGTGAGGGGCAACAGAATGGGCAGGGGCAGGGCTACCCTTCAGGGCTGGCCATGTAAACACTCCTTTGAAATCCATTGTTCATGATGGACAATTGGTTAGTGATAACATATTGGTTGGAGTTGGGAACATAATAGGAGAGGAAAAATTGCAAAAAACAGCCCCACCCTTTCGCTGAAATTTTAACAATGTTGCCAAACACAGTAAAACGTCATGGAAACTTCAGCAGAACCTGTCCCCATTTTTCAAAATTCCTTCATATTGGAAAATGCGGAATCAAGTCTTGCATTTGTGCTTTTTATTTTCTGTGGAATGCAATTACAAATCATATCCACTGAGTGAAAGTATAACAGATTGAGACAGGTCCATAAACCTGACTGGCATTTGGTTTGGAAAATACACGTCCATCAGATTTCACAACGGGGAGCGGACTTGTACCTTATCTATAGCACCAGGGTTCTGGCCTGGGCAGAACAGACCTATGATTCTGTTTTTGCCCATTTCCTGATAGTATTTTCAAACAGATGTGCCATATACTTTCTACCCTACAGGCCTGTAATTTTCCCTTAGAAAGATATAGTCTAGTGCCAATGGAACAGGAGCACTTCTGTGTGTGCGGTCACTGTGTGAGTGATCTAGGATACCATTAATTCAGTCTCAGTGTAATTCTAAGAAATCATTCAATAACCACTGGTAGTGTCAGCCTTGCCATCACAAATCAAAGGCTGCTTACTGCTACCTGAAGCAAGGCCTCTGGCATAGAATAGTAAACACAGCATTGTTATGCATGGAG